AAGCAAGTAAATGCATCACTAATATAAATAATATTCCATTCACATGATCAACATAATAATTATAATAAACACGTTCAACAGTGATTACTTGAATAGCATGAGTTGTTTCTATTGCAGATGTAGCCATTATTGTAATAAGTGCATGTTCTTTTATAGAAAAAGCTCCTGGATTTATTGTTATATTAAAGATCTTTTCTGGTAAAACTTTCGACATGAATTCACCCATCATATAAGCTAATAATATAATAAGACCAATATTAATATCTAATGGTGATGTACGATAAGAGAAAAATTGAGATGCAAAAGACATCAGACATGTTAAAAGAATACCAATAAATACTGAACGAAATGTTAAACATAACATTGTTGGATCATCTTTATTTGAGATATTAGCAGCAACTTCTTCATAAGGTGATTGTTCATCATCATCATCATTTGAATTATTAAGTAAGGGCTTTGTTGTGATACTCTTTAAATATTATTCGAACAAAAAAAAAAAGAAAGTGTTATCTAAGTGTTTAAGTTTTTTTACCTCATCATGATCATCAAACATTGGATTAAAATTATTCAATTCAATTGGTTTTGATAATGTATCATTCATATTTTTATATTCATCACGGTTTTTGATCATTTTTCGTGCCACAAAAAAATTAAAATGTGTTATTCAGAGAAAGCAAAGCGTCACGTAATAGTGTTTTTTTTTCTGTATATTTATGTGGCCGATGTTTGATACCAAACGAAGCGCAACGCAACGCTAGATAACATGAAGGAAAAAAAATGTGAGTAGTAAAAGAATCATATATGCAGTATAATTAATATTTTTTTTTCCGATACAAAAAAAGTAAAGACAATTCGAGTGTGACCTATCTACTTTCTTCCAACGTTTGTACGTTTTTTTTTGGCGCTTGTTACTCGTCATTCTCAAGTATATTTCTGTAGAAGATACCGAGATTACAAAGGCTCAGAATGAACACTTCGGTTTCTGGTTTCGTTTTATTTGCTTTTAGTCAAGTAAAAGCACAAATATCTTGGAAGTATCCTCACATAATCATATTTTTTTCCAGACTAGAATTTTTCTAGTGAACTCTGACAAAAATCCAGCAGTTCACTATAGTTTGAAACAAAAACAAAATAGACAGCCTAAACATTTTTTAATATTAATAGGAAACCGTTTCACCTTGATGGAACGTTCTGCGCTTGAGAAACACGCCTGATTCTTTAGTTTTATCTCAGAAACTCATTTCTAGAAAAGCCAATCTTTTTCATTGGAAATATTGTTCACCATCAGATATGTTGACTTTTATACTTATACATTCATTCTTAAAATATATGTAGTAGATACTAGATGATTCAAACCGTATGTAGAGTATAAAAAAACCAAAATTGAGCAATCTGAACATTTTGAGTAGCAAAGGGGAGACACGCATAATCTCATAGTTCACCTAACAATATTGACTAGGTGATTCGAAAGCATTAAAAGTGGATTCTATTGATTGCTTTTGTTGTCTTTTTCCAATGTATTAAAGATTTATTTTGTGAAAAAAATATCATCCAAATCCACTTTGTTCACCTTCCATCTTCAAAAATCAGCCTTGCGTCAAACACATTGAAATCATATAAAATGTTCAGCTGTAAAACATGACGATGTCGGAACATATTCAATCAATCAACGTTAAGAATAGCTCATTTGATAATCTAAAATTCTCTCTGAGGTCTCAGTCCATGAATTCAATTTTCTTTATTTGAACGAGCACAAACTCTCCATAAATGATCATTTAGTGATAGAAGTGTTGGTATACATAATAATGAAAAAGCATAATTAAGAAATCGGACACTGCAGTTTCGCACTTTCTTTCACACAACAAGAAACAATAGACAACTATGAAGCTTCTTCGAAAACTTCAAGATGGGCTATCAGAAAAACATCGCTTTTCAAATAGAAAATGGTTTAAACCATCAGAAATTTTAGTAAGAAACGAGATACCAAATAAAAATGAATGTTCAGCAATACAATATAAGTAAATTAGTACTTTTGATCTTGTCTGAAAGATTTATTTTATTAAAATTAGCAATGTTTTGAATGTTCAAAATGTAATTCTAAATGAAATGAAAATTATGAATAAATAAAAAGTCTGTTAGTCTCATTTATTAAATATGCCAGTCGTTTTGAAGATAAGACCAGAAATTGCAAGTGAACCTATCATACAAACGCAGACAAATAGATAATAACTAAACTGTTGACCACTAGAGAGCCAAAGTAAAGCTAGTGCTGGTAAAAAATTTCCTGTTCGTTCAATACATCCAAAAATAGATTCACCCGAAAGTGGACGTATCATTGCTGTACTTAAACCCCAGACAAATGCCCAGCAATGAATCAAAGGGTAAGAATCTGTAAATAAATATATAAAAGCAACTAGAACATCCAAAAGGCCAATCATTGGCATAAAACGACTAGAAAATAGAAAATACTGGAAAAATAGAGAAAGATTTGATAACAGTTTACCGAGCCCATTCATTACCGATACCAACTACACGAAGATACGGCATCCATCCGGGTACAAAACGAACAGCTAAACATCCATGACCAAAAAATGTTCCGAAGACAGACCAACGAAGAATTAAAGATAATACATGATCCGATAACATCATGAAAATGACAACAAAAAAAAACTAAAAAAATTTATGACCGAGATAATAAAACTAAATAAAACAAATGGTTGCTAGTCAACAAAAAGTATTTATGAATAATTAAAATTTAATGTTAATTATAACTCGCTGATAAACAGACTGAAGATAATAAATAGGAATTCTTTTATAAAATCGAATGATTACTAAAATATATTCGAGCCATGTACGAAGAGTTCAAACTGGTGTAAGCAAAAGTCAATATTATCAGTCCATATTATACCTATATATATAGAGAGAGAGAGAAGTAAATTTTCAACAGCTGTCCTCAGTTATCAATTTATTTCAAAGAAATTCTGTATTATCGATCTGAACTATTATTTACTTTAGGCACATTCAAGGTTAAGAAAAAACATAATCTCATGTCGTAGTCTCATAATGAAATTATCATTTATTTGCGACTAAAAAGATGCAGAACAATCATCAGAAAAAACACTTGTAGGCTTTCCGGTTTAGAATACTGGCTTCATGTTCCATCACTTTGGATGTACTCCTACCACATACAATCACTTTTCTCGTATCTTTACAACTGATTCTAGTGAAATTCAATTGTTTTTAGAGCCTGGAATGATTGACATGGATGGGTAGCTTAAAGAAACTGTAATAATATTTAAATGTCAAAAAAAAAATGATACGAATGTCATTATGTCTTCATATCTGTGGTGATAGCTTTATAAGAATTGAGAAGTCTTTCAATCGTGTTAAATAATGGTTTCAAATAGGAAAATATCAAACTTATGAATTCTTGTAAAGAAATCATGCATCTATTGAAAGAAGCCAGACAAAATAAAGGATAAAAATGAATAAAAACCCATTTTAGTGAGTCTTCAGATTGTATGTTTTCGTGAAACTATGATAAAAATTTTTTTTTTCATAAAATAACTACTAGTGATTTCAAAATATGATGTGCTTCATTGTTTTTTTTGAATATCTTTTGACAGAAATATCATAGGGATCCTAGGTTTTCATCATTTAAGAGAGAAATTCGGCACCGTCGAAATTCGGTTGATGAGTAGCTAGTCAATCAGATAAGTTCTTGATGGAGATTTTTGAAAATTATATTCTGAAGCTATTGTTCTTTTGATTTATACTTATAATATATTCGATCGATAGGAAAGCTTTTTCTCTTTCGATATACGCGAAATTAACATTCCTAGCTTCATCATGTTGAGTCAAATAGTATTATGTATTTATCGATTCGAAATAATATGATACTATCATCTCAATAGTTTTGAAACTCCATAATCAGCCTTCGTGTAACGAGGGAGTCGGCATTTCGAGTATGTTGTAGTACCATAGTGAGAGCAGTTGGAATGTAAAAAACAAATATCACCGTTCGACGTTACATAGTGCATCACGTCTGCTTAGTTACTTTTACAGGTGATCACAGGTCAATTAACTAAAATCGAGAGTATCAGTAAAAGTGTTAGAACTCTCGAATGGAACAAGCTAGGAATATTGACCTTGTATAGACCGAAAGAGAAATAGCTTCAGAATATTGGATTTTTGAAAAATCTCTTCAAAGACCTCACCTAACTGGTCAAATCACTGATCGATCAAATTTCAATATACTTTGATGGTTTCGGTCGCTCTTCTCTCTTGAATGGTAAAAACTACTGATCTTTACCATGATCTTATCAAAAGTTATTTAAAAATCAGTGAATAACATCATTTTTTGAAAAATTGATTAATAGATAGATTAAAAAGAGACCAGTTCTTTTTGTTGATTACATCAAAAATTTCAATTAATTATATATATGATCTACAAAGTTGTTAACACTTATTTAGATTGATTTTATTTTCTTGTCTAAATTTCTTCTTTAGATTTATATCAAAAAAAAAAAAAAGAAGGAGTTGTGAAAGGAAAAAAAGACGAATAATTTTAAGCACAATAAATTAAAAACATTTGTAAAGAAAAAAAGCACTATGAAAGCTACCCCAATAATTTAATCAGATATTTTTCAGCACATACAAACAAATAAATATATATAGAAAATAAAATATTTTAATTCGAATCTTCTCCATCAAGATCATCATCAGAATCCATATTCGAAGTTTTAGCTGAATCAGCTGTTGGTGGTCGCCGATGATCAGGACCTATACAATGAAAATTATTTTTTAATTTTATTAGTTGTTTAAAATTCGAGAACAAACTAACCTTTACCAGCTGGTGATTTCCATATTCTAACAAATAAAAAATATTTTTATATAGAAAAATCAAAGAATAATTACTTACGAATCATAAGTATATTGAGAAGCATCACCGGATGATAAATTTTGATTATGAGTTATTGATGGTCGAATTCTGAGAAAATTAAAATTATAATTTCTATTTATAATTATTGAAAAAAAGAAAGTGACATACGGATTTTGTGGAACAGTACCAACGGATGGTTTTCGCTGAACATTTGTATCGTGAATTGAAGTTAATGAATCACTATCATTATCATCATCATCATCATCATCGTTCTTATTATTCTAAATGATTTTAAATGAAAGATATGTTTAAGGAAATAGAAAATTAAAGCAGAAGTTTTCTTTTTTATATTTATGTTTCGAAAATTTGTTTCATATTCAACTTAAAACAACTGAATCTATAAAGCTCATTTACTTTTCGATGTAACTCTGATGGGCGACCAAGAAGAAAGTTTTCAGAACATTTTGAAACATTCATAAATCGATTCAGGATGATTGTTTTGAATATGAAACTATCAAATTCAAGCAAAGTAGTAAAATTCATGTTAAGAAAAGGTCGATTCTTCCATGAATTTTCTGAACAACAGAAAAATTCGGATTTATTCTTTTGACGTATAACTTCTATCGATTTTCGTAAGATATAAGAGTCCATTACAAAATACTTCTTCGAACTGTAGAAGTTTTTCCTTAATAATGTGTGACGTACGATCCTGTTATATATGAATCAGCTTCATTGATTCAATAGTTCATGTTAAATTTAAAGAGAATATTAAAAAAAAATTTGAAAATCAATCTATTTCTTAAAACGTCATCCTATAAAATTGTAAACGTATATGTTTTTGATCAACTCGCTACTCTCTATCTAATTATATATAAAGAAAAATAATCTTTCTGTTTAAATTTTTAATTTTTATCATCTTACTTGATTAGAAAGTGTTGTACGAGACGGTTGAAAACCTTGTGGAAGAGCATTGATAGTTGGTTTTTGTCCTTTTGAACTTATTTCATTTAATTTTTGATCAAGAATTCGTGTTTTTGTTGCTACATTTGTTCTCGATTGACTTTCTTCGTCACTACTAAATAATTAAAATCAATAGAATTTTGTACTTTTGACTTTTCTTTTTTTTTTTTTTTTGCAATTTACCTTTCAGTTTCATTTTCATTCATTGTTGATTTTGGTCTAACAATTGCTGATATTGTTTTTGTATTATTTGTTGTTATTGGTCTCATATTTCCTGAGACTAATGTACTTACAGCAGTTGATGGTACATTTTTTCTAGGTGATGGTTGAATACCACTAGTAACTCCAGATTTTGTTTGTTGATCATAATCATCACTGTCATATGTATTTGTTTTTTCATCATCATCATCATCATCATCATCAGAAGCAAACTTTGTTGATGTATAATTCTGATTATATTTAGATTTAGGTTGAACTGTTTTTGTTGTTGTTGTTGCAGGTCTTTTTGTTGGAATTGTTGATGGATACGGTTGAGAATCATCATCAAATTTTACTAATTTACCAGTTGATGAACGACTAGGTTTACCACTTGAATGTTGATTTTTTATTCGATCCATTGCAATTTTATCTAATGTTTGACTTAGTTCACTACGTATACGTTCAAAATTTGGTAGCTCCTAAAAAAAAAATTTTATTTTTTGTTTTTATTATTATTATTGAATTAAACGAATATGATACAATTTATTTAGATGTATTTAATGGTAGAAGAACATTATTTGATTGTAAAAACATACACTATGTAGTACATCCAAGGAGAAAAAGCGAAAATGCTGTACTTCAACGTACTTCCAAACTATGCCATAACTGTGCATCAAATCTGTTTAGCTATTTCAAGTCTTCTATCGATCTGTGTTACGATTTATTAGCTGGAGTTCAGTTTGCGTAAGTCTATCTGACAATAAAGCCTAAATACTTCATTGGACTTCCAAAATGGGAGTACGGTGAAATATTTGGGCTTTATTGTCAGACAGACTCACATAAACGGGACTCCGGCTTATATATCGTAATACAGATCGATAGGAGACTTGAAATAGCTAAACAGATTTGATGCACAGTTATGGCATTGTTAGGAAGTACGCTGAAGCGCGACATTTTCGCTTTTCTTCCTTGAGTACATCTGATTTAAAATTCCGTACTAATGGTCAAATATGAAAACTATTAATTTCAACTTGTAGAACAAGACCTATTGATTAGATCTGATGAATCATTAATATAGCCTAACGAGAGAAAGTGCTCAGGTAATTAAAAGCTTTTGAGTCCATATTTTACTCAATGGTAAAGAACCTATAAACTAGAACAAACTTTAAAGAGTTCGAGCTTAGGTTGAGACTTGACCGAGACATTGAAGTACGAAGTTCTAAGCATGTATCACCACATTTTATTTTTCTGCATATTTTAGATCAATGTTACTCAATATCTCGGTCAAATCTCAATCTCAGTCCGAATCCTTTGAAGTTTGTTCTAGTCTATAGGTGCTGTATCATTGGGCAACATATGGGCTCCAAAGCTTTTAATCACCTGGGAACTTTTCCTCATCAATCAAATCGTACTTTAATATTCTCAATAGAATTTTCTAATCGAAATTGAATAGTCGCTTGGAAGACTTGAGATATTTTTTGCTGAGTTGTGTTTTGTATCTGATAACCGGCTGATCCTACACATTTCTCAGACAACTAGAATCTATCGAGTGCAAAACTTTTGGATTCAGTTCGATGAGCTTTTATGGATGAGTGAGAATCGAAATTTTAACCTTTATACCTCAACACTTCTTCTAGATCGTGTTTCACAAAACTGATAAGAGAGAAAAATTTTCTGTATTAGTTTACCATTCGTATGTTTTGTCTTGTTTGTTCAATAATTTTCATTTTCGTTGGATAATCTTTGTCACTAAGACGAGTATCTCTCTGAAAAAAGAAAACAATAAAATATCATGAACGATATTATTTATTTTGTCTATTTTTACTTCATTGATATTTAAATCTTCATGTTGTTGAAATTCATCATTCAATTGATTTTTTGTTTCATTTCGAAAATGATTTAAATATCGTGGATTTTGATTTATTTGTCGAACAAGACTTGGACAATATTGTGGTAAAAATATTTCTATTGTTTGACCAGGTCGTATAGTTGGTCGAATTGGTGGAGGTGAAACACTTGAACGAGGAGTTGGTACAGGTGATTTTCGATCGATTTTAGAGTGTGGTTGATTTTGAAATTTAGCTAATTTTTTATTAGTTTCATCAAGTTCATCTTGTAAATTTTTACGTCGATTTTTTTCTTCATTATATCGCTAAATATTTAATAAATGAATGAAATAAAATTCTTTTTTTTTTTTATTTTATTTACATTGCGTAATTGAATTAATTGTTCAGATAATTGATTTGTATTACCAGATGTATTTTCTAATATTCGAATATTTTCATTTAAATCATTTATTTGTTTTTGAAGCTAGAAAAACAATTTAATTTTGTTAAATTCAAAAAATAAATTTAAAATACTTTTTGTATATCACGTTCAAGACGTCGATTTTGTTTTTTTAAATTATTTTCTGCTTGTTGTGATGATTGTTTCTAGATAAAAAAAAAAAAGACAATGAATTCATTAAAGTTAATAATTCATAATACAAACTAATTGTTCATTTTCAGTACGTAAAATTTTATTATCTTTTAATAATTCTTTAACACCAGTTTCACGTTGACGAGGTGATGTTGGTTGATTTTGTGTAGACTAAAATCAAAATTTAAAAATTAAAACAAAAAAAAAAAAAGAATAAAATAATTTTTCAAAATATTACAGATCTTAATGTAAAATATTTTTCTTCTAATTCTGTCATTTTTTTTACAAATGTTTGCATTTCTTCCTATATGAGATAGAATGTTATTTACATAGAGATATAGATAAATTATGTATTTTACTTTAAGTTGACGAATATTTCCATCACGTTCACGAATTTTATCTTCATCAAGACCCTAAAACATAACAAAATTAAAAGTTTCAAATAGGATATTTATTTGAATTGTGATGTATTAGAAATGTTAGAATACAAAGAATTATCAACCGATTTCAACAGAAAAACATTGAAAATCAATGGAACTTGGAAATAGTATTCCCACATTATCAAAATTAAGGAGAGGTTCGACTCTGGTTACAAGAAACGGTATGCAAAAGAAAAAAGGAAAATTTTCCAAGCTTGGAAATGCCATCATTCGAGGCATCTGCAAGTATTCAGAACTAAAAAATCTTTAACATGTGCAATAATGAATGTAAATTATAGATCTTTACAAACTCTATCTATAATAAGAAAAAAGTTTGTACTTATGACCTGTTTTTCAAGAGTTCGAACGGTTTTAATAAATGTTTATTTTGAGGGCTGTATGTTTGAATTTCGATTTGAAACTTCACCAAAAGAAAAAATTCAAATAGAGTAGCTTTCGTTAAAATTTTGAAAATTTTTGACATAAATTTCTTCGAGATATGAATTTCTCAAAAATAAGTTTTAGATAGAAATTACAAGATATGATCTTGCAGCAAATATGTAAAGTTTTACAGCGAAAATTCACTAGAAAATGTTTGATCTCCTCAAGAACAGACCGTAGAGACAAACTTTCTTTATAGTAAATATTTTTATTTAGATCTAAACGTTGTACTAAGTTCCAACTTGAAAAAAAAAACGCATCAACATGTGTATATGTGTTCTTGTGAGTAGTAAATAAGTAGCAGTTGTGTTTGTATCTGTATGTATTGACTTCAATTAAACTTCTCCTGACCATAGAAGATACTTCTTGATTAATTAATTCTTGGAATAATTATAACTAATGTTATAAAAAGTAGGACGTCTGCTAACGAAGAAACTTCCATAACTGTTGGATGCCATTTGATCCCATATTTTGACTATGAGTAGGACTCTCTGAAACTAAGAAAACTCTAAAAAGGGTTCGGGTTCATGGCATGCTCCTAACAGGATATTGAGGTTTTAGTGAATTTTCTCTGTAGCACCGCATTTTTACAGCAAGCCTATACTTTCGAATTTTGACCTGAAACTTTACCCACCTAAAGGTCTAAGCTAAACCAGCTGGCGTAAAAAATTTCAAAAGCTTTGAACAAAATCTCTCTGAGATAATAAGTTTTCAAAAAATGCATGTTCTATGTACTCTCTATGAAAAAGAGTCTGTGTCTTGATAGTTCTATATATTGGAGTGATTTTGTTCAAAACTTCTGAAATTTTTTATACAAGCTGGTTTAGCTTAGGCCTTTATGTGGGCAAAGTTTCAGGTGAAAATTCGAAAGTATAGGTTTGCTGCAAAAATGCGATGGTACAGAGAAAATTCACTAAAATCTCAATATCTCGTCAGAAATTTGCCATGGGCCCAAACTCTTTTAGAGTTTTCTTAATCTCAAAGAGTCCTACGCATAGCCAAAATATGGGATCAAACGGCGTCCGACAGTTGACAAGGTTTCCTCGTAAATCTTTACGAAATTTTCTCACTAACAAATGATCCATTCAAATTGATATGTAACGTTTCAGCCTACGAATACCCCTTAATGAAATTAGAAAAAGTTTGACATGGTTCGACCTTTGTAGTTGATTTATGACTGTTTGAACAAAATTTCTCTCATAAGTCTATTGATATCATAAACATTTCGAATGATATCTTTTCTCTGAAAATTGATTTATTATTAAAAAAAGAAAATATTCATTTCACATACTTTTTGTACTTTAATAAGTTGTAATTCTGTTTCTTTCGTACGTAATTCATCTTTAATACGTTGATTTTCTTTTTCCATATCAACATCATGTTCACGTCGTCCACCAGAACCATATTCTGGATGACGACGATGTATATGTGCTTGTAAATAATCTACACTTAAAAATGAATGTGCACAAATAGGACACTAAGCACAAAAAAAAAGAGTAATCATATGAATTTATTATGAAGATGACATTTAAAAAAAAATGTAAATAAAATACTGTATGATGAGCTGGTTGTTGATTCGTTAACATTTTTTGTAATGTTTCAATCATTTTTTTTCGTTTTTTTGATTCTTTTTTTGTTGTATTTAAATCATTTTTTAATTTTTCCATTTCTCGACGTGATTCTTCGTGATCCTTATATAAAACAAAAATAATTAATGAAATAAAATAACAAAATCTTACTTGAAAAGTTTTGCTTTTTATTTGTTCATAATCAACTAATTGACTTGATATTTGATCTTGACAAAGCTAACAACAAAAACGAAAAATCTATCAAAGTTCTAAAAAAAAAAAATTAGAAAATTTTCAAGACAAACCAAAAGATATTCAATTATTAATTGAGCCATTTTATAAAGTTTAACAAAATTTGGATCCATTGCTCGAGTATCCTTATACAAATTAAAATAAGAGAAAATTAACATAATGAATAAAGTAAAAGTTCTGCATTCATTTTATTCTTAATAAAAATATCACAATATAATATCATCTAGACTTGATTCTTTTTTCTTTTAGACATAGGAAAATGTCTAATGCAAAATAAAATAAATAAAAAAAAAACTTACGAGAGAAGTCCTCCAACTGATTAATTGTTTATCAATCAAGACAATATATATCATACAAGGTCTCATGAATTATGCATAGACTTGACAAGAGTTCGTGCCGAAATATTGCATAGTTTCACAAAGATAGGAATAATTCATTGTGGATATTTTAAGACTTTTGATTTGCTCCTCGGTGTAAATAAGAACATCAAATCTACCAGTGCATATTAACTATATCATACCACGATAGTATCTTAAAATAAGAATGATGAAAAGATCTAAGACTTTTATGATAATTTGTCCTCGTTAAGAACCTGTGTCTATACAAAATTAGTTTTTCCAACGTTCCTAAAGGGGAAAGACGATGTTGTGCTTAAAAATACTGTATCTTGATTCAGTAAGAAAATGTTTCTTGAAATTCGTCCTTTCCTATTTGAATAACAGAAGGATAGAGTACTATTACTATAGCAAAAAAAAAATAAATACATATTCTACCTGTTTTACAACTGCCTATATCAAAAGCTTTTATAAATTCGACTGTTTCATAATTAATTATTGACCTTGAAAAACTAAATTTTGCTCTAAACGAGAATTTATCAAAAGATACATATATATTATATATCTTCTAAGGCATAGTTCACGATATTATTGAGAATAGGACAAATCTTCTCTATTATATATTTAAAGAAAACTTTGTTTTCGTGTTATGTGAAACAGTTTGATATCTACTCATATATAATACTACAAATCATCAAAAGTTATTAATGTTTTGATTGAACTTGCTGAATATTCTCAATATTTTTTTTCAACCTTCATTAAAAAAAAAGAACAAACATCAAGTCTCTACAATATTATCTTCAAATACTATATGAAAAATGAATGCAAATCTTTTACTCTTCATATTGACTTACAATTTCCATATCAATATTACATAATGCAATATGTTCAATATTATCTTGTAATACTTGAAAATCTAATTCTCGTGCTATTCTTTCAACATCAACAGCAGCTAAAATTTTCCAAACGAAACAAAAAAAAACAAGATCAAAATCTTTTAAGTTTTTTTCAAGAAAATAATTTTCTCATACCAATTCGACGCCAATCAATTTTTTCATTTCGTTTATTAAAAACATATGAATGAGTTATTGGTTGTTGAGTTACATTATTTAAATAAAGATAATTCATTATTAATTCTATTAACCTATGTGATTTGATAAAAAACTAAAGCGCTATCCTATATATCACCATGGACTAAGACGTTACCATCGATATGTCTTTAATAAAATTATATTTAAATAAAAAAATAATTTTTAAAAATAATTTATTAATTTTTATAATAGAATTTTTAGATTTTTTTATTTTATACGTTATAAATTATAGATGTCGCTTTGAAATGAATCATTTATATTGATCATCGCATATTTATCGATCGATGATAGGTATCTATATTTTTCTTTTCATTCATTTGACATATTTTATATAATGTTATCCATATTAATTTATATATTTGTAAGAGATACAAATATTTGTCTATTCTTTAAAAATTAGTCTTTTTTTTTAATTTCTTTAAGTTACCGGTGATAATAACACACGGTGAACACATATCAATAAATTCTATTCAGTCATTAATTAATCCAGATATTGAATTAAAAAATTGTACATTTGGTGAAATATGTATTGGTACTATTAATTCAAGTTCTGTACATTTTTATTCTATTGAATATTTATTTGATCCTACCATGGTAAGAAAAAGAAATATAAGATCATTTTGTAACACTATCTTATCTGTAAAGCAATATTCTATAGTTTCAATATTTGATTGGACTCTTTGTTCTTTTTTTTTTTTTATTTCATGCAAGAAAGAAAACAAAACTTTTAAATATTTTTGGTACTGCTCTGCTGCTTTTTTTGTTGTCTTTTAGCTAATGATATCGCTCTGATTCATAAGAAAGATTTGATAAAATGAGTTGAATTTAGGTTCAGAGAGAATTAAGACTTATATTGGAATTTTTGGCTTCGAAGTCAATTGTTCATGGAAATTTGTCTATTAAAAAAAATCTCATAATTCTAACTACAGTCGAATTCATGTCAAGTTCAATTAATCTTATGAAATTCTAAATATGAGCTAAATCGCACTACAGCTGTATTCTCAAGACATAATTATCGGAAAATGTCGATTAGAGGATGACGAACTATTAAAGTATCAAACAGTCAGGAGCGACGCGAGCGGAGAAAGGATACCCCCTGCTTTGCGAATTTCGGCTCAGATTTTCTTCTAATTTAGAGAGATTACTAAGCAGTTTCCTCTGATTTTGGAAAAGTATAATCAGACAAATTTGAGAAAAGTTTTAGGCTACTTTCTCCGATTTTTGGATACGCCCCTCGCTCTGACCTCTTCGCGCTGCCTTTGCAAACAGCTTCTATGCATAATCAAGATTACTCTTTTATTTTTTTTTTGTTCTCATCCCGATGATTAATTCAATTCTGATGTATGACGAAAAACATTTGTCTTAAGAATATTCGAAATAATTTTCTAGTAAAATATAATATTATTAGAATATCTTTTTCATTTCTTTCTATTTATCCTTCTATCACTAATTTCATACTAATAAAACTTATCAGATTCTTAATCAATTATTATAAGATAAAAGTCGAGCAATTGTATTGTTATTGTTGTTGTTAATAAATTTAAGATACTTTGCTGCTGATGTACTGAATATATATTCATAATTTATTATTATTATTTTTCTTTGTTGAAATCTATCTTCTTAGGCTATTCGTGTAATAACAAATATGACATATAAAATTGAACAAGAAGCTCCACTTCTAATTGTCATACGACAAATTCGTGGTGTAATTTCATGGACATTACCATATACATTTTCTAATGGGTAAAAAGAGAATTTTGAACGAAACTGATATCAATATTAAAAAAAAATAATAATAATAATAATTTATTATTATTTAGTATGATTTATTCAAGTGCTTCACGTATACTATGTTTACAAAATGAAATTAATCGTACACATTCACATATGAGTCGAGTATTTATTGAAATTTCAACATCAAATATAGATTTAATAGATTATTCATTACAACTTGAAAATATAACTGAATTTTTACTTGAGTAAGAAAAAAAAAATATATATTTGATTCAATAAAAATTCTTTTTTTCTTTTTAAATTTTAGAACTGGTATTAGTCGACAATTTTTTGTTTCACCAGCTATGCCAATCTATTATAAATTTACTTTTCCATCAAATATTGAAAATGTTTTTATTGATGTTCGATCAACAGATCAATTATGTACAATTGTATCTGTACAATCATTTGATTGTCCTGTTTATGATGTTAGTGAAATTGGTATGCGACAAGGACATTATCAAACAATGGCTTCAATTGCTTCATTTAATGTTTATGTAAATAGAAAAAAAATCTGAGTTTTTGCTTTTTAATTTAATTCAAAAATAGAAATTTTATTGTTGGTTTTTTTGTTAGGCTAGTGAATTTCCAAAACGAAATACATTTCTTTTGGTTTTTCTTGTACAATCAACAGATGCTGATTGTTTAAATGATCAAGAACAAACAATAATTCAACCAGCAGGTATTGTTGATGTTCAACGACAAAAAAATGCAACAGTAACATTACATCCACCAGCAAATTGTATGAATAAAAATATTTGTTTTTTATATAATTTTGATTAATTGTTTTTGCTTTTACTTTTAGATAATTTTCTTTATATTGCTATATTTTCAACAATTGGATTATTTGTTATAATTTATTTTATTGCTTTTACAATTATGTGTAAACATCCAGATATTTAGTAAGTTATTATTGTTATAATTTTATTGAAGTTTTGTTTTTTTTTAAAGTGATCATTTAGGACCTGATCAATTATGTAAGATTAAAAGTTTTTTTTGTTTTTGTATTTAAAAAAGAAAAATTTTCATTTTGTAGCATTATTGGAAACAATAGCTGAACGAGATATTGCAGGTAGGAAAAAAAAATGTTTAATAAGATATAAATTGAATTTTTTTGCTTGAAAATAGAACGACATTATGATGAACGTGGTTATCAAACATTAGAAGGAGAGGAAAATGTAGTATCTACAAGTGAAGATGATATTGAACAATCTGGTCGTGCTATTGAAGTTATTGAAACATCACATGTAAGTTAAATAAAGTAGAAAATGAAAAGTTTAGTAAATTTAATTTGTTGAGATGTTTTCTTTTTGGTAATAATCAAAAAATAATGTTTTATCTGACATGAAGACTGAAGAAGTAACGTCTTTCGGAAGAGAAACTCTTGATAAAAAAGAAATATACAGTGCTGGCCAAAAATATAACACCAGCATATTTTTGGTTTTTTTTTTCTACTACACCACGCATCTATCTCAAAGCCAAATAGTGATTGGGATAGATAATGAGTTGCGCATAATAAACCATATCTTCACAGATGAATTAAGACAGCAAAGGTCCTAAAAAACAAAAACTAGCATTTGTCAGAGCCAGCTTTGAATAGTGCCATCTTAAAGAACGCAAAATTCTGAGCAAAATGAGGGGTCGCCGCGCTTTCTACGACGTTTCCTTGCAAAATTACAAGCATCACAAAAAGTGAAAAAATCGCTGAAAAAGTGTATTTTTTCGCTTTTTGTGATGCTTGTAATTTTGCAAGGAAAAGTTGTAGAAAGCGCGGCGATCCCTCATTTTTCTCAGAATTTTGCGTTCTTTAAGATGGCACTATTCAAAGCTGACTCTGACAAATGCTAGTTTTTGTATTTTAGGACTTTTACTGTCTTAATTCATCGGTGAAGATATGGTTTATTATGCATTTGATAGAGCAACTCATTATCTATCCAAATCATTATTTGGCTTTGAGATAGATGCGTGGTGTAGTAGAAAAAAACCAAAAATATGCTGGTCTTATACTTTTGGCCAGCACCGTATATATAAGACTAATGTATTTTTTCTTTTATGGAAAGCCAAACATGGTAGTTTTCAGGTTTCAAATAACTATTTAAGGGCATCGTCTCCAAGAACAAACAACCTTAAATAATATGAAGAGTTACTGAACTTCGTGTAATCTTCTCTTAAAAAGTTATGGACGTAACATAGCATTGCTAAAAAATGCATGTTTTTTTTTTGTAATGCTTATAATTTTTTAAGAGAAGATCATAGAGAAAGCGACAATTCCTTATTTTATTCAGGATTTTTTACTATTTAAGACTCTCTGAAAATTCTCTTCATTATATTGTATTGAATCTTAGGAAATATTCTGAAGAGACATGTCTTCAAAAATGTGCTTTGGCATTTTTTTGTCAATGTGTAAAAGTTTAATGAAGAAAATTTATAGACAACTTGAGGATATTCTTTTTGAATCTTGACTCTATTTAATAAATTCATTTGCAAAAAATTTTTTCTTGTAGGTTGGTTTTGTTACTGTAAGTGATTTATGTGTTAAAGATTATGATTATTCGAAACAAAAATTTCGTATATATCCTCAAACAATGTTAACAATAGCTATATTTTATTCATTACCTGTTATACAACTTGTTTTACAATATCAACTTAATATTAATTCATCTGGAAATGAAGATATATGTTATTTTAATTTTTTATGTATACGACAATTTGCTATGTTAACAGCATTTAATAATGTTTTTTCAAATATTGGTTATTGTGCATTAGGTTTACTTTTTTTAATCATTGTTTATCGAAGGTAAAAAAATCAAAGAAAAACATATATGTTATGGCCGAAGTTAGAATTCAGCCCAATTCAGAATTCGTCCAGACAAAATTAGAATTCTAATTTCGTCTGGACGAATTCTGAATTGGACTGAATTCTAACTTCGACAATAACATATATATAATGAATATTTTAATAGAGATATGGCTTATGCACGATTTCTTACAAAATATCCTGCAATTGGAAAAGTAATAAATAGTAAAACGAAAAATAATAACTTCTTATGTTTTATTAGGAATATGGTATTCCACAACATTTTGGTCTATTTTATGCAATGGGTATTGGTTTATTTATGGAAGGTCTTATGAGTGGATGGTAGATAAAACAAAAAAAAAAAAAAGAAACAAATCATTTCTTTATTTTTTTGTTTATAGTTATCATATTTGTCCATCAAAACAAAATTTTCAATTTGATACAAGTTTTATGTTTATTATAGCTGTTTTAAATATAATTAAAATATATCAAACAAGACATCCAGATATAAATCCACGTTCAGCCGGTTCATTTTCATTTTTAGCTGTTATTATTCTTATTACAGTTATTGGAGTTGTATGTTGACAAAAAACAACAATACGAATAAAATCTTTTGTTTTTTTTTTTCGTGTTTAGTATTATGATGAACAATGGTTTTGGATAACATATGCTACGATTCATATTTTAGCTTGTTTAGCTTTTACAGGAAAAATTTATTATATGGGAAGATTAAAAGTTACTTTTCGTGTACATGTAAGTTTAAAGAAAATTTGATAAGATTAGATAACTATGATTAAATGATTTTAAATTTTTGGGTACCTGTCTCTTTTTTGACTTTCATACTGAATAAAAAAAAAAACTATTCATAAGATTGAAATTTAAAATGATGAACAGTTTTTAATGGTGTAGTTTGTTTCTTTAAACTGTACTGTTTATTTTGCTATGATAAATTTTTATGTTTTTTACAAGCAGTTTTTGAAATAGCGAGTTTCTTACTAATGTCGATTTCTAGAGAAATTAATTTTTTTTTCTGGAAATACATAGATGAGATATCCTAGAAGGAAAGTCTGTATATATATATTAGGAAATAGCGAAAAATTCTATTACTAACTAATTGCTTTCAGCTGTAACTCAAAAGAGTGACAGTTGATTCTGTGGCATTGAAAACATTTGGAATCAACTGTTTAGCTTTTGGTAATTCCCTCAAGACATCTAAAAATCACTATTTGTTTTTTTTTTTTGAATGATATAGAAGATAATTCTATCTAATCGCAATAGTCAATATTAGACCTTGGAAGTTACCATTACATTATTGAGTAAAAGATAACGAAAAATTTTTTTTAGTTTATCAAAGAACGAACCATATGAAAATAAATTTCTACTAATTACTTTAATCAAACAAGATAAAACTATATTTTTTTTCTTACACTTGTAGAGAAATTCTCTATTGAAATGAGATAAGCTAAGAAAAACTTTCTTCTAACCAACCAGATATTAGCATAGTATTGCCTTATAAGTCTTATCAAGGTTTTCTCTGAATTAACATAAACAATCCTATGTTGGATATTATTCGTCGAAGGAATATCATATGATCAGTATTTCTCAATTTGAAAAATTTTTTCAATACTATTAATTCATGTTTACTCATTATTTATTTCAATAATTGTATTTCTACTGTTCAAATCAGTTTCAATTGAAAATAATTTCTTCCTTAAATTTAATGTATATGATATTTCTTTTCTTTTTTTTAAATATAGATTCATTTATATCGTCTTGTAAAAGAGAATGGTTTTTTTTCTCGTCCACGTTATTTAAATCGTATGATGATACTTATTCCAGCAAATTGTATAAATATAGCATTTGCTCTTTATGGTGCAATTATTCAACCTGAATCATTTCCAAATCATTTATTATTTGTATTTCTTGGTAATTTAGCTATTTATTTATTATATTATATTTTAATGAAAATTATACATCGTGAACATTGTACAAGATTTTCAATATTATTTCTTCTATCAGCTATATTATGTTGGTCATCATCATTATATTTTTTTTATCAAATAGTTAAAAGTTATGAAGTTCAACCAGCTATATCACGTATGCGTAATCGTCCATGTATATTATTAAATACATATGATGTACATGATATATGGCATATATTATCATCATTTAGTTTATTTTTTTCATTTCTTACTTTATTAACACTTGATGATGGAATAAGAAAAAAGAAACGAAAAGAATTAGCAGCTTTTTAAAAAAGACAAAAAGAAAAAAAATGAACGAACGAACGAATCAAATAAAAAATTCTTGTATTTTTTTTTTTGTTTTCAGATAATAATAAATATTTATTCTGTATAATCACCAACAAAAAATAATGTTAATGCTTGTTCAATAGATAACATTCCTTGTTGATCAATATCCATATCACGTAATAATTCATCAATTTCTTCTTCATTTAATTTTTCTCCACGTGTTGTTAAAAAATATTTTAATTCTTGTGCTGATATAAAACCATTACGTTCATAATCAAAACAACGTAAACTATCATGTACTTCTTTTTCAGAACGTTTTTTTAAACCATTACATAAATCTTCAATTATTTTTAAATCAAATAATTGATGAACATAAAGTGTACCTAATTTTGTTTCAATTATTTTTTTAAGTTCAGTATTTGTTGGACTATAACCAGCTGCACGCATACAAGTTCCAACATCTTTTAAACTTAATGGACGATTATGATTTCGTTGTGATAATATTTCATAGGCTTGTTTTAAACGTTCATCAGTTGATAATGATGCACTATTACCATTTGACGACATGTTTACACGACTGTTAGTAAGGAGAAAAATAACAAAAAAAAAGAAAAATGAAACAAAGAGAATACAGTCTGAGGGATTAGTATTTTTTTTTGTTTCTTTTTTCTCATGATAATGATCAATTAATCGTTTGCCGTTAAGAAGAGAAAAAGAAGACGAACAACGAACGTGACGTGCATAATCAATGAGACATTCGATTTACCTTCGTTGAATCAGTCAAAAAATGTATACAGGTGACCTTACATACATACCTATGTTGTCTTCTTTTCTTTCTTTACGTTCTCTATTACATTAAATAAAAACCATACACTATTGTCTCTAGCATTTTATTCTTTACACATGTACACAAAAGATTAGACTTAAATATATATGTATGTATCTATCCTATACATATAAATTTTATTTTTAGATAAATAAAAAAATGATCTATTTCATTAAATTATTTATTTATTTAATATATTTATTAAATAAATCTTATGGAATTAAACAAGATATTTTATTAATTAATGATCCATCACATAATTATCAAACAACATATACAATTATTTCATCAAATAATAGAATAAAACGTGATCAATTATCTTTAATACTTCCAGATATAACAAAAAATCAAATATTATGTGAACATGATATTAATATTAAACTTTCTAATTGTTTAAATTTAGAAGAATGCAGGTAATAATAAAATAAAACTATTTAAAATTTCTTTATTTTATCGACTTTTTTTTTTAATAATGTTTTAGAACTTTTTCAACTTGTCTTGATTCAATTCAATGTCCAGTAAATATAAAAAATTTTGGAAGTTTAATTCTTAATTTACTTCGTTTACTTGGTCTTAATTCTTGTTATACTGATGATATTAATCAATTATGTCCACATGACAAACGTGTTATGATTTTTCAAATATTATCAACACAATTGAGTAGAAATAAAGATGATGATTATTGCAAGTTAGTTTTCTTAGAATAAAAAAGCAAACAGTCTCTTCTTTTATTTTAAAACTCATGTTTTACAGAAAAAAAAATGAAAGAACTTACTGAATTATTTTTATAATTAAAAAAAAGCAGAAGTAGAAATTTCCAAAGTTTGCTATTAGATATTCATTTATTCATTATAATGAATTTAGAAAACAAAAACCTAGACACATAACGAAAGAGAAGAATAACACACAGAGACTTTTTGTTGTAAACTTAACAATTGCATCGTTTCTACTATCTGTTGCAAAATATAAGGTACTCTACTGCTTTTTTTTAAATAAACTTTGTTCGGAATATTGTAGAATGAGTCTTTGATAGAGATTTTTCAAAATGATATTCAGAAGCAATCTCCCTGTCGATTTAGACTTACAATATTGTTCATTGAAAAGAAAAATTCTTCTCTTTCGATCTACGCAAGGTCGACATTCCTAACTTGTTCTATTCGAGAGTTATAAGATATTTTCCGAGGTCTCTGATTTCAAGCAATAGGTCTATGCTCACGTAGAAAAGTAGCTAGATAGTGATGATGTACCAGGTTAATTTAAATGATGATATTTGTTTTAAGGTTCGAATTGCACTGATTATGTTATCTCAATATTTTCGAAATTTCGACTTCTTCATTATGCAAAAGGTAGATTGTAGAGTTTCATACATATTAAGATAATATTATCAGACCACTTCTAATCTAAAAACAAATATCAATATTGTCGAGCTACTTTTTTTTTTCGGTTGACTGAAATCGGAAACTCCAAGAAAAGCATTCATAGCTCTCGAATGAAACAAACTAGGAAAATTGACCTTGTCTATATCGAAAGAAAAAAGAATTTCTATCGATTCTTCCTATTAAACTTACACATAACATTATGCGTCTTAGAAGCTTTATAGTAAAGCTTAACAAGAAAAACTATCGAATCTTTGTAATGAATTGTTATCATGTTAAACTGAACAAAAAATGAATGCAAAACATTTGTGTACGATCGAGTTAAATAAGATTTGTCAATTATTAAATTTGATAATATTATTCTTTTACTAATATTGAATTAATTTTTAGTAATATATTCAATTTTATGAATGAAATAAAAAATGAAGTTCAAAATCGATGTCCATTAAATGTCAACCAAGTTGAAGTATTTCTTGAAAATTATACATGTTCAAGTAATGCATTCGTGCTTTTTTTTTTTTTGAAAAATAAATTATTATACGATAATAAGTAAATTTTAGCTTTCAAAAATGAAAACATTGATGTAACTAGTTTACCAAATCGAGATGAATTAAAAAATCGTTTATATTTATCAAATACTGAAAATATATTAGCAACACCTTCAACAAAACTATCATCACAAATTGCCTATATTGATGAAGATAATGATTTAAAATTTATTAAAACAAATACCAATCCATTTAATACTAGTGATCAAACAGTCTATGTTGTAAGTGTTGAAGTATAGGAGTAAAAATTTGAACTTTCGCCTCTTGCAGATCATCATAGATTATATATTCTCTCAATTCAAGGAAAGGTCGTATAAAATAAAACGGATTTGATTATACATGTAAAGTCATGTGTACACATATATTTGTGAAGTTTTCTCATATTGACAGTTCACTTTCCGAGTCATTTTTAGTTGACAAGTGAGACTTATCTGAGACTGTTATCCGAAACAACTAGCAAGAAAACGTTTTCAATTGTCAAATTTCTTTTGAATTCGGACTTGGTGTATAAGATAGATTCTAGTGAGTTATAAAAAATCTCAAGAGATTAAATTCTCTTAGACCTTTTGTCTAGATTTATAGGCATTTAGTCTAGGGCATGATATATACAAACAAATTGAATGACGGTGTTTCGAACTGAGATTTTGCCCATAGACAGGTCTATTGATAATTAGAATATCTTGAAAATTTCAGCTCAAAAGAAGATTTCCATTCTGAGATATTAGCGTTTCAAAAATGACTCATATAGAACAACAAATACTAGGATTTTCTGTTTTTTGAGACTTCAATATCTCGGGAAGAAAATGTTCTTTTAAGCTGAAATTTTCAGGGTATTCTAATCATCAATAGATCTATTTGTAGACAAAATCTCAGAACGAAATGCCATCATTCAATTTGTTCGTATATACCATCCCCTAGGCTAAAATTCCAGTAAAATGGCTATAACTCTAGATAGAAGGCCTAATGGGGATTTAATCGCTTGAGGTTTTTCATCTACTCACTAGGGTCTATCTTATGCACAAAGTCCGAACTCAGAAGGGATTTGACAGTTGAAAATATTCTCTTATAAGTTAAATTATAGTCAACTACCTTTCTTTTTTATATTTTCCAGAATGATCATCAATATTATAATGTTTCATATATTATTCCAAAATCTGAAGGCATACCAATAAATTTCGTTCAAGATAATAATCAATTTACTCATATTCATGAACTTTCTAATCGACATCGAACAGCATTTGTATGAAAAAGTTTCATTATTATTATTACAAAAAAAACAAACGTAAAATTAAATTTTTTTAGGGAATTAGTTTAAAATTTGGCTTTCCTTTCTATGGTCATACAATAAATAAAGTTTTAATTGCAACAGGAGGTAATTATTTATTTATTATTCTTTTCTTTTAAATGCGTATTATTTATTTTTATTCAATATGAAATTATTAGAGACATAAATGTGTTGTAAGTGATGGTGATATGTTAATGTTGTTTCTTTCTATTTCGTCTAGATTAATTAACGAATTGTTTGCCTTAAAACAATGCTTTTTTTATCGATTTCATTCACTGATGCTTTTTAATTCATTGAAATTTATTTGTTGTTTTTTTTTATATTAAAACAAATATAAAATTTAATATCTATTTTTTAGGCTTTATTTATACGGGTGATTTACTTCATGCAGCATTAGTTGGTAGTACACAATAGTAAGTTTAAGTATTTCATTTTTATTCTCAATCCTTATTTTTTTTGTTTTATTGAAAGTATTGCACCATTTATGGCAAATTTTGATGCATCTATTGGTAAAAATGAAACTGAAATAAAATATTATGATAATGGTACACATTTTATATGTACATGGCAAAAAATTTATTTACAAGATCAACAAGATGCTGGTTCATTTACATTTCAAGTTATTTTACAAAATACTGGTATGAAATAATAATAAATTTTTATTTGTTTTTTTTTTTGTTTAAATATTTTTATTTATCTAGGAAATATTTATTTTAATTATTTACAAATACCTAAAATAAAAATATCTAATACATATCATGATCATCGTATTGGTCTATCAGATGCATATATGTCACAACATTCAACAAGACAACATATTGCTCGAATTATAACACTTTATAATAAAATTAGTTTAGATAAAGAAAAAATTACTAATGGAGTTTCAGTTGTCTTTGATATGGATCAAAGTAAGTGTTTTATATATAGATATACTACTTCAGAGTCTTTTCAATTTAATGATGTTTTCTTTTTGTTTTGTTGAATTTTCAATTATGATTGTATTTAATGAAGGAATACTTTGAAAATAATAAAAATGAAATATGAGAAAGATATTGCTAGATGTAAAATGTTTTGAGTTGATTTAGTTGCAAGTTGCTTTGAATAAGAGTGATGAAATTTTATAATTTGATTTCGAAATCATATACTGGACTGAAATGTTTACCATATCTACGAAGAACTTTCTTTCTAATATTGTAATTTTCTGTTCTATATAACTAATTGCTTTGGAATCAGAACTCTGTATATCCTAATGAGTTATGAAGACTTTAATCTTTCTGAGGTACATCAGACAAACTTATTTTCGAAGATCGACTATATATCGATTGCGAAAAAAAAGTTTATTTGATTATTTCGTTCAAAGTTTACAAAACTTATTATGAAAATTCAAATATCAGCTTCTTACTTATGAATATTTGACAAAAAATTCTATCTAAAAAAAAAATTTCGAGTTATACTCCAAAAAAAAGCTCGACTTTGTCTCAATCCTGCTTGTATTTTGTAATTTTCTCTAGAATTTGAACCGTTTCTAGTACTTATTTCAATCTCGTATTTTCCTAATGATGATATTTACAACTCATAAGTAAAACTGTATTTTTATTTTCTTCTGATTTGATTCCAGTCTCATAAACAATCATATTGAATCAAAAAATAATAGAAATAGCCTAATTCTTAGAAAAAAAAAAAGATCTCTATCATTTGACACATTTCACTTCTCAAATCGATAAACAAAGTCAGAGAAAATTTGAAAAATACGAGCAGGATTGAAAAAGTCGATTGTTTTTTAGTATAAGCTGATATTTGAGTTTTCATAACAATTTTCTGTAGGCTTTCGAATGAAAAAATCTTCCGTAGTCAACATATTCGGTCTTCTGGCGAACTATCTCTTAATGAGAATAATTTACTGTCAAAGTTTCAGATATTTTCGTTAGTTCTATTCTAAAACATGGCTATAATAAAAGCGCATGTTTTACATTACTCGTATACATCGACAGATTCGATGTTCAAAATATGAATAAATCAAAATTTCTAAAACTTCTACAATAATCACAACATTGAATTTAAAAATATCGTTTATATATAGAATAGTCTCGACTTAAAAGTGTTTAATTTGCTAGGAGAATATTCTCGTTAATCATCAAAATCATTGTCTCAAATATCAATTAAGATTTCTTCGAAGGATTAAAATTAAACACTTTTTTTTCTTCTATAATTCTCTTTAAAAAAAGTCACTTAACTATATAGGAACAAGATAGTATCGAAATTGGAAATAAAAACAAAAGACAATAACTAAATAAATCATTATTATTTTTATTTTAGTTTGTAATACATTTTCTGATTGTTCATCATGTTTGGCTAATCGTGGTAAACGACATAATTGTTCATGGTGTGATGATATACAAAAATGTTCTGATGGTTATGATCGTTCACATCAACAATGGGTTCAAGCACAATGTCATCATTTAGCTTCAACAGATACATGTCCAAATAGTATGGAAGATATATATGATAATTCTCATTTTCCATCATCATCATCATTATTACCATCAATAGTACATTATGAAAAAAGACGACAATCATCTTTTTCATCATCTCAACAACATTCAACATTACAAACATTTCGAACAATTCTTATTACACTTTTATTATCTGTTCTTATTCTTTCTCTTGTTGCACTTACTATTACATATATATATGCTTATCGTAATCCAACATCACCAGCTGGTATGTGGCTTCTTGAACATCGTCCATCAACTTATATTGCTCGTTTTAAACGTTCTACTGGTTCGATTTAATGAACTGAAATAAAAACAAAAAGTGCCTCACAAGAAAAAGAAAAAAAGAAACAACAAATATCATTAAACATTTGATTATCATTTTTCGCTTTAATTTTTCTGTTCAGATAAAATAAAGGATGTTCAAAAATTCTGCTTGAACAAAAAAAACAAAGAACTTGAATAACTTTTTAAATAATTCAAAGAATATCTATGAGTTTTCTCTAATCTTATTTTAGTAAATATCGTTTTATATGCATCTCAATAGAAGAAATTTGAACGATACTAAATGATGTGACCATGAAATGTACTGAAAAATAGATCTTACATATTAAATATAGAGACAATAGAAGACTTTGTATTCAAACTAGTTTGATGTAATTAACTTTACTTTCATCCTGCATCTACGGACTTTGTTCTATTAGAAGATATTTCTTATTAGTCACTTTTATAATAAATGATAATTAAAGAACAAACAAAAAAAGAAATTTATCCTTTATTTTTTTTTCTATTTACAGTGAAATTCTCGCCATTTATCGCTTATATAATTAATCATATAAATAGATACATTTATATTTTATTATACTATTTATTGTCATAATGATAAAGAATTTCTCAATTTTTTTATTTTTGTTTAATATTGTCTAATGAATTTCTAATTTAAATAAAAACTTGAAAAAACTCGGAATGAAATTTTATGACATAGCATCTAAAAATAAGTATGGAAATGTAGAAGTTGACCTCTTGATCCGTAACATTTAAAGGTTTAAATAATAGATAAGTAGTACATTGAATGCATATTTTGAATCTAATCTTTCTTATTACATAATTCAATTTAAACTAACCTAAAATAGACTACCACATAAGAAGATACTTCGTCTGACTCAATCAAATGTAAAAGTTTTAAAAAAAACATGTCTATTTGTAGGAAACTTTCAGAAACTTGCGTTTACTTGCAAAATATTTTTCAAACTATTGTATCTTATGCATGTAGATGCAATCTATTTCAAATATTCACAATTATTGCACATGAATGCAAGACAGGAGTACATACATGGAAAAACAATTTTTGAGAGTTTCTAAGCAAAACATACGAGACTGTGCATGACTTTAGTGTTTGCAAATAGCTGCAAGACATATAACTCACATGTAAATACCTAAGTCTTATTGGCGTGTACATATATTAGATGGCTATGTTTTTTTGCTAAACTCTGCATGTCGAAATAGAAAAAGTTGTATTTACAAAAATTATTAGCAAAACAATTCTACGTCGGCATAAAATTTTCTCCCATTCTGTAGTGCTTCATATATTCAAGCTATAATGGTTCTAGAGCCTTGGTCGATTGTTTGAATTCGCTTACAGATATTAATATTCATGTTCACACTTCCATATTTGTTATCAGATGATCAATATGCGCTCTTCAGTTTTGAGTATACTTCCAATGTAAGTAGATCTTCAAATGGTGACGAAGCCTATCTTATACAAGGTATGAGTGTAAGTGAGAATATACCTGTAGGGTGTATGAAGATAGTTATGGGTGTGTGAGTATGTGTGGCTATTTGAATAGTGAAGAGAAGCATCACATCATGTGTACATGGACACCATTACCGACAACCTCAACGATACACATACTCATATTAACAGCTATATCCATACCTGACTATGTGTATTTACAGCGTTTGCGTGAATGCAGAAATTTAGTTGATATTGTAATAAGAATATGAACAGTTAGTATACAATTCGTTCATCGCACGTCAAAAATATTCAACTCATACTATAAAGTATTGGTAAGCGGACGGTGTTTGTACCGTTTTCAAACCATGAATTCGTGAATCATAGATTGACGCTATACTATCAATACAGTCATACTCATCAGATCAAATTCAGCTACAGGATACGAGACACTGATGAGACAGTATGTGACATTGCTCAAGGCTAAGTGCGTTGCACATTTATGTCTTGTTTTATTTTACCAACGAATTTTGAAAAGGCGAATCAGTATCTTTCATGCTTTTATAGTAGGCGCTTCGGAAAACTCAGAGAGATCCTCGCATAAGCGTGAGCAGTCACGCAGGACTATTGCATCTGCCTCGGTTGTATAGCACATGTTTCGATTGAGGCTGAGGATAAAGAGACAAATATTAGGCTAGGAAAGTAAATTTAAGAAATGTTAGGCAAAAATAGAGTAAGACATATATCTACTTGCGTATCTATCTATCAATTGTGACCAAATAATTGCTGATTTCAATTAAAATATCGATGAAAATTCTCAAGCATTTATTGGTTATTAGATATTGTTAGAAATAAGTAACATTACATATTGAATTAGTTTGTACAAAAAAAACGTATTGAAATGATTCAGATGCAATTTTATGTATATTCATAGAAGAAGTGAAATATTTTTTGATTTACATATTATATCTGCAAATCTATAGTCGATTATATCAGGCATGCAGTTTGAATTCAATTATTGAGTTTTCAAGTAACCAAAAAATAAATAATGACACTCAACAAGACTAGTCTAAAATGTTCATATTATCCATTAGAGGTAGTCTGAAATCTCTTGCTTACAAAGTAATCAGCAGAATAGAAGAGCGAGAGAACAGATGAATTTGAACAGTTAATTCGACAGTCCTCAACATTTCTTTCAATAAGTCCATAGTCAAAGAGTTAAACCGTCTAAGTAGCATAGCAGTGCGTGTTTATTAAATATGCAATTGAAACTAACTAAAAAAACGCGAGTTGACTAGTCTGGGATATCTTCAATGGGGATGCAGAGTAGTCTGAAGTGTCCTTAGTGTTGATAATGACTAGTTCATCGTTGAAAAAGTGGTGTGAACCGTAGTCAAGACTATTCTAATATCTTAAAATTACTATTTTGTTTAGACTTAATTATCCAGACAAATAGTTTTAGATTGACTCATATCGTCAAGTTCAACATTCAAAGTCATACAATAACGTATGATAGCACATTTTTCTCGTCTTATTTGACAGTTAAGTGGGATCTAATACATTACAAATAGGAAAATTATTATTAATTCAATACACATGTAGACGCATATTCGAATTACATCATTACAAACACTTGAATCCTTTGAAAATTCAAATAGTTTTGTAATGTCTCCAAAAAAAGTACCACTGTCATGGTGATATTCTTTTAATAATATCTTGTGCTCTGTTGTGCTTTCATAACAAAATGCTTCTAATGTATCGCGATGAACAACTTTGGAGTACAAGCTTTTTTTTTAATAGGTTAGATTTTAACTTTTCAAGAAAGTATAATTCATATTTTGTCTATTTATTCATGGAATTATTTCTAAACAATAACCTTAATTGATTATGGTGGGTAGACATTTCGCTTTATAGAACTGGATATTGACTGCTACTAAGTATTCAATCGTATTTAGTATTAATTGTTGTTATTATCAACATTAGCTAGTATCAATACTAATCAATATTCAATAGTATTGATATTGTGACATGTCTAAATACTAGAACTGACCAATACAATTACAATTGATTTTTTTTCAATGATATTCTTAAAAAAGATTCTACATGTCAAAGAATGTTATCTCGACACTGATGAATATAGACAAGTTCCATTTATGGACTTGCAAATAGTACTTCATTGAATACTAATGAAGAAAGTAATGTGTTGTAAAACATCAACTAGATAATACTATGAGATTTTATTCATGTGCAATAGTTTTATATTTCTTATCCGAGAAAAAAAAGATATAGGAGAAGAATAGAACGAATAGGTATGAAAATCGAGTCAGTTTTGACTTGCGTCGAAAAATTATTGACTCATTCATCTTTTATTAAAAGTGAATTTATTATGATTACCGTTTAATCATGTTTTCAATACCATAAGGCATCAAATCCAATAAACTGAATATGTAGCTTTCTAGATTTAAAAAAACACAACAAAAAAAAATGGTTGCCATTAGTTCATTAATAAGTTCAATAACAATTTGTTTTGGCCTACCTGTATTTATTTGTGGTACTCTAGGAAATTTACTTAATATTCGTCTATTTTGGAGAACTAGGCATAATCCATGTGCATTTATACTTATGTTTCTATCATTGATTAATTGTATTGTTTTATTTTATGGTTTATTTGCAAGAATATTAAGTGTTGGTTTTCAACTTGATTGGTCAACTTCAAATCGTATTTGGTGTAAAACTCGTGCTGCTTTAACTCCTGCAAGTTTTCTCATTTCATTAACATCTATTTGCTTAGCAAGTATTGATCGATTTCTTGTTAGTTGTCGTCAAGAAAAATACAGAAAATTGAGTCAATTATC